TATGAACATTTTAAGAATATTCTTCAAGAATATTTGGAATATTCCATAGGTCATTCTTATATATTTATCTTATGTTCGTGGAACATGCACTACTATAAATCTTTTTCGAATGTAGATAGAATAATCTATCGGCTATAGCGTGTCGGTTATATATTGTATGATCACAGGTTTCACTGTCTTTCGCATAAGATAAGTATATTACACAATAAACAATGAGCAATACATAAACTCGATGAATATTAAAAAATTATTCTGAACGAATATTCCAAAGACATTCTCGACAAATATTCTAAAAACGTTCTTCTTTGTTATGAATATACGATTTCTAATTGTAATAATCTCTATATAGTTATAGAATATTCGATTGGAATATTCTGAAATTAAGAATATTTGCATTCCAAAAGAATATTCACAGAACTATGTGTGCTATCTGGGTTCTTTCTCTTTTATTTTGCACGCCGAGGGAAATCTGACGTATGTAGGTCCGGTGCACATATTTGTTCATATTTTGAAGGGCGATCAAAGAGTACTGATTAACGATTGAAAGTCCGCTTTTGTGCTATAAAGAGCAGATATTTTAGACAAGACTAAGCGGGGAGCACACTTTTGCATAAGTGCATATATGCATAAGGAAGTTGGTCCATTTCCTTATGCATTTGTTTATGGGCCAATCAATTTTTTTATACATGTGCTTATGCTCTAGCCGAGTATACAACAATTAGCTGAGTATACAACGAGTTTCGATACTTTTTAATTACACCAAGTATATATCTTCTCGTGATTAATTTCCTGCCGCAAAATATCTCTGTATGACCTCAGCAGATTGCAGATTACCATTATTTCATACGGTATATGCATGCGCGTAATACGTACGAAATAGATTACTGAATTTTAATATATGTAATCATTACTGTTTTATAATCAGAAAATATGAAAATATCTTGGCTTTCAGGCTTTCGCGGCTGTTGTCTTCTTTAGTCTTCATGGCTTCCGGATGGTTGCCGCGTCCGTTTGCAGTGTGGTGCCGACGTTTCGCAGGCGTTGCAGTCTGCTTCATCAGGGCTGGGAGACTCTGATACTGTATCAGAGTCTCCCAGCCCTGATGAAGCAGCCTGCAACGCCTGCGAAACGTCGGCACCACACTGCAAACGGACGCGGCAACCATCCGGAAGCCATGA